AAGACTAGAAATGTAAGTAACACTGTACTGTGAAATGATGTAATGAAGTTTTATCTTTATATAAAACTACTTGTATGTTACCCCGTAAATCAAATGTGTTGTTGATACCCTATGTGAGTTATTATAACCATACTAATACGACTAGTGGCCTGAAAGACATGCTTTGGGCGTCAGAACTGTTATGACATTTGTCACCCCAGACCTGTCGGTCTAACTTTAGCTGATAGTTTAGGTGTAGGGTTGTCAATCCAGTGTAGATCTATACACAAGTGTCACGTTCTCCCAACAAGAGACTCTAGTTATAATTCAAGACTTTGATGTGTACTCTGGTGGGTACGGTGAAGCTAATTGTCTCACAAGGTTATATCAATCGATTTACATGTACTGAAAACTTTTTTTGCTTGTAAATAAAATAATTATGTTTTCAAATAATTATTTAACTAATACAAACTGATAATATAGTTTTATGACACCCAACTATACCCATTATAGTTTATTCTGTATGTTTGTTGAAACTTTTTTATATAATCTTTTATATAAATATAAAGTTTCCATCTTCTGCCTAATATATATAGTCAAACATAACACTTTGGAGTTGCGACCCACCAAAATTGTATAAAGGGTATAAAATATAGCCTTTTCTTAGAAAACTACCTTTTTATAGAAAAATTCTAAAATCATGTAGTTTTACAACCATAACTTCTTATAATGTGTTTGTTTTTGTAGTTGGCATTCTTAAAGCAATTATCATAAATATTTGTAAAATGACTAGTGATGAAGATATCTTGAACATATAATGACTTGTAATTCAACATTTATACAAATCATGCAAATATATGTATAACAAACAAACTTTTAAGTTGTATCCCCCCCTTAAAACTTAAAAATATCGAAAAAGTGGGGGTATGAACTCACCTTGAGTGGATTTTGTGGGTAGTTTGAAGTGATGAGATGAAGATTTCGAGCCTAAAACATTAGAATGTGTTTTATGAAATCTTTGAAGATTAGCTTACTCTAAGGATTTCAACACATAATAAGGTGTGTAAAGATGATGAATTTAACATAAAAAATGTGTAGAAACACTAGAGGTTTACGAAAATGCTTACCAAAATCTAATGACCAACTTGAAGGTGATGATCTTGGAGGACTTTTGCTATTGCTCTTGAAAGAAGTAAGCGATGAAGATAAAAGGAGATAAAGATGGTGAAAGACAGTGATGATGAATAAAGGAAGGCCTTCTGGACAAGGTTAAATGAGAGAAATGGATTGAGTGAGTTCGTGGATAGTTGGACGGTAATGGCATGAGTTGTATGGATATGTCCTAGGTAAAATGAAGTAAAGTTGAATTCATCCCATCATAAGGTCAACACCTACCCTTATCCTTTCCTAACCGAAATCATATTAAAAAGGGGCCAATGTGGTGATTTCGCTCCAAACTCTCCCACCAAATATGATTTCGGCCTTAGTAGGCTCTTCCTTAGAGTTTTCGGCCTTGATGGACTTAGCTTTGGAGTTTTTGGTTTGGTGCTTTCCATTAGGAGGTGACTTTCGGTCCTAGGATGGCCGAAATCCCTAGGTTAGTGGGTTACTAGGCTTAAACTATGAAGTAATGTTTTAACTCTCATGATTTGCACTAATTATTTGACTTGCTTGACTTTAAGTGTTTGCTACAAACACGTTTTTCAACATGTATATATTTTTAATCATACAAATGATGCTCTCTTGGCTTTCAAAGAATTATTATTGCATCAAAGCTACTTAAATATACATTATGGTTACACTTATACACAAGACCCCTTAGACCTTGTTTGACCCAAATTTTTTTTGTTGTCATACAAACCTAGAAAAGCATCCATAAATAATCTCCCAACCTATAAGGCATCACAAAACCACACAAACATAACCTGAAACTCCTAAGGGGTCCTTATCTTATCCCTCGCACACATTTTTGTCAACTCAAATAACAACAATTATAATACAACATATAACACCGATATGGATATTTTAGGAGATAACTTCCTCGGGCTTCAGCTGACTGTACAATCTTCTTCCTCCGTTATTTTCTTTGAAAATCATTCTTTTTGTAAAAAGGTTTTTATAAAACTTTCTGATCCTTAGTTTGAGTCTAGAATCCTACGAGTGTTACCTAGGGCTTTGATACCAACTTGTAACAACCCAAATTTTCAACAATTTTTTTCATTTCAATATAGAAAACCTCAAGTGTTCAAAAACCAAGCCAATAAAATCCTAGGTATGTCAAGTACAAGCATCCCAAATCGAAGCTTTTCAGTCATGCATGTCCGACACATGACTTGAACACTAACTAGGTCAATAAAGAGAGAATGAAGCCAAAACTCATGCTTAGAGTCTAAAACCACCACCAAACCTTAGATCTAAAACCTATACTAAATAAGAGGCCTCAATGATCCATAAAGTTGCTAACTTTATGGATCACATGCATGCAATCCAACCCAACCATGAAGAGAGGTGAATAAAACTTAGATCTAGCATGCTAAATAGAGAAAAACAAGAGCTTTAGGACTTACAAAGGTCCAAAAGCAATGTAAGGTGGTTATGAGGGGACTTGATTTCCAAAAAGATGCACCCAAGGAGTCTTCTTCTTCTTCTTCAAGGAGCCAAAAATTACCAAATTAACTCTTCAAAGTCACAAAGGAGGCTAACTTCGATTTGGATAGGAGAAAGGTGATGGAGGCTGAGGGTGTGCAAACCCTAGCCCTTCACTTCCTTTAAATATAGCGTAAAACACAAGATTAGGGCAAACATGTCCTTACATCGTGACCTCCCATAGGTCACGTCGTGATCCACAAAGATGGACAAGCGTTTCAACCCAATGGTCATGTCGTGAGGCTTCCTTCCTCACATCGTTACTAACAATTAATTAGGGTTTTACATTTTTTAGTTAAATCAAATATTAAAAGATCGAATACCTGCATTAGATGTTACAACATCCTAACATAGAATGGATACATACTATAATATATAGTATAGTGAGAAAACTCACTTGAATAGTCTCAAAACAGCTAAGTAGTTTCGTTTGCAAACGAATCCATCAACATGTAACAACCTATAATACTATACTAGTTACTGACTATCTGAGCATAATAATTAATATCTAGATCATTCACTAATCCTAACAATAGTGGATTCACTATCAAAAAAGGATTAGTCGGTCAAGACAGTTAGGAGGCCGAGCCATTTCAACATATAAGTTTCTGAAGTCCAACAACTAGGCCAACATATCTATGCTAGATATCTCCTCAAAAGTAGACCAATCAATATTTTAAATGTAATTAATGAATAATCTAGTAAGTGTAAGTGTAACTTACTCGGTTAACATAATCCGGACGACTGCAAGAGTATATTTGACGATTCATTTCCGTATAAGTATCCTTTCAAAACATCCAAAGCTTTGCTAACGAGATTATAGAACGAGAAATAGAATCACGAGGGACTAAGATCTCGAGAGGGAGAGAGAGATTCTTAAAAGAGAATATTGCAAGAAATAAGCGAGACCAAGCCCTCTATTCTATTGTCTTTTATTTCATGAGCTCAATAAGGCAAACAAACTACTTAAAAGATCTGAAAAGGGGAAAGAAAAACATGTGTAGGGATATGCAATGCTAAGATCCTAAATTCATAGTCTTCTATGAGATCATCTACATAAATAACATTGTAACACTAATTTGGAATGCTAATCAGTATTTTCGGCCTTTTGAATATTTAGAATAAGATGTCGAAGGCTCCAACTATCAATAACTTAACATTTTTAACTTGTGATAGCAGTTATTTAGAGGTGGAGAAGTTTGTGTTTTCACTTTCCACTCTATGATTATATTATTGTTAGACCGTCAATTTAGTTGTTTAAATAATGTTATGTAACAATTTATTCATTGTAATTTATCATGTTTTAAAGTAATTGTTAATGAGTCAGTTTAAAATTGTTGTTAATTTCTAAATAACAAACCAACTATCCACCCAACTATCCACCTACGAGGGGATAAGAACATTACATTAGCAACATGGTTATTACCCATCACCTAATGGCTTTTACCCATCATACGCCATTAATGTATGGTCACCTCAAAACTCTTAAATATATGGAAATAGATAACATTGTCACTTGTGAGTCTCTCCGGTGATTAAAATTTATGACCGTGTGTGCATGGTTGCATTTTATATTTGGAACGAGCAAAACATTAATTCTTGCTATAATAAAGGTCTCGAGAATCAAATCAAACTTTATTGGACGCGAACCTTTAATCCATCATGAATATTCCCAGAAATTACATTAAATTCGTCAAATTTTACTAAAATTGAATTTTGTTATAGTAAACATTCACACAAGTTCGCATTGTTATGTTTGCGTGGATGTTGGCTATTTTATTAAATTCAGAAAAAATGGTTATACGACGACATAATACCTCCAAACATAGTCATTTCTATGCATATATCTATCGTTATCTCATATATTATGTGGTGCTTTTATTAAAGATAGAAAGAAAATTAAAAACAAGCTCCCCAAAAACTGAATAAATCACGTTTGTTTGTGGAGTGTTTGATTTATCTTTTTAAGACATAAAAGTCATTTTTAGAAAAGTTACAAAAATAGGTTTTCCTAATTTTTCCAAAAAACAGTTTTTCTTATGTATAAAATTCAAAAGTAGCTTTTTAAATGTTTTTACCAAACATCTTTTACATTTTATTTTTTCCTAAAAAACTTTTGACCACTCAAAAAAGTCAAAAACCTATATAGAAAAAAAAAAAAAAAGTTATATATATAAAAAAGATGAAAACAAGCTGGGACATGGACACAAGTGCAAAACGTGAATTCTCTCGTTTGATCTATATTTCTTGTCATTATTTTATTTTTCTTCAAATACACGGCGGTTTGACTTTGACTCTGAAATAACTAGCGGCGATGACTTGGTCGTCTCCTCCACCACCAAGATGATAATTATTGAAGCTTCTTTGCTCCATAAATGGGCGCCATTAACCAATTGCCTACCACCATGCAAATTTTCCACACAGAAAAGGTAAAACACCATTTTGGTCAAACAGAATTCCAGTCAAAGAAACAAACAAGAACCTGCTTTTATTGATCAAAGAATCGATTGATATTAATAGTTACATTTGAAGAATAAGAACAAGATTCAAAGATGTCCACTTGATTCTGTTCGATTGAAAGGAAGAAGTAGTCGAAGGAGTTTAATTTTGATCATGGGTGCTTGCTTTTCTTCTTCTTCTTCCACTAATCAAACGACGAACACTGGCAATCTCAGTTCAGGTATAAAGATTGAATCTTTCTTAAATTTTTGCATAGATTACGTAATAATATATCTGGGTTTTGTTCGTTTTCGATAGATTATGTAATCTTACATTTGGGATTTGTTTGTTCAGATAGATTTATATGTATATTATAATAGAATATGTGTGGGTTCATCTAAATATTGTTCGTTAATTAGTATAAAATAATATAAAATCTCGCTTTTTGTTTTTTTCCTTATAGATTTTGTGTTTATGTTTATGGGTCTTATGTTTATGTTCTATGTTATTTATATATTAACTATAAAATCTCACTTCAAGAACACATAAAGCCCAGGTTTTTCCCATTGAATTGTGTTTATTTGTTTTTTGTTTTTTGTTTTGTTTTTTTTTTTTTTTTTTTTTCTGTTGACTTTTATTTCCAAATCTTATTTGATTTCATCTCATTCTTGTTAATTTAGCATAATAATAACTTACTTCAAGAACACTTAAATTTAAGTTTTTATTTGAATATTTGCTTATATTCGTAACTCTTTGTAGTTTGTGCTCAAATCTTGTAAGATTTCATCTCTCTTTTTTTTTTTTCATTTGGTAGCAAAAACAAAAACCCTTGTCAAGTTTTGTTTTCTTTATCTTTGAGTTTTGCGTTGATTAAAATCAACTCCAGTTTGTATGCAAACATTATTCGATCATATAATCTCACTTTTTTTTTTCTTGATTTCTATATAACAACAGCCATTTCACAGACCACCATCACCAGCACTACTACAAATTCATCATCATCAGGAATAAGCAGCAATGTCTCCGGCAACAGCCAGTTCTCGGCGGCAAGTGGTGGTGATGACCGACAGCCTGGCGGCCAGATCTTGCCCCATCCTAATCTTAGAGTATTCAGCTTTGCTGAACTCAAAACTGCCACTAGAAATTTCAGAAGTGATACAGTTTTAGGTGAAGGTGGTTTTGGAAAAGTCTATAAAGGATGGATTGAAGACAAGTCAAGTTCAAAAAATAGTGTAATTGCAGTCAAAAAATTGAATTCCGAGAGCATGCAAGGGTTAGCAGAATGGCAGGTAAATTATTAAATGAAAAGAGTATTTACGTCTTTCACACAAACAATAGATGAAGAGCGAAACTCTCTCATACCTTGTCCCACCTTTTTGGATAAGACATGAACATTCAAATTTTGTCCTATTCACAGTCTAATGCAGAACACTGTACAATTCTATTATGTTATGTCATGTCATGTACAATTTTATTCTATCATATCATGTTATGTAATGTGTAATAAAACTAAATGCTACCATTTTATGGCATTTTGTGGTTTATTCCATCAGGCGGAAGTGGATTTTCTAGGAAGGCTTCAACATCCAAACCTTGTGAAGTTATTGGGATATTGTTACGAGGGTACCGAGTTGCTACTCGTATACGAGTTTATGCAAAAGGGAAGCTTGGAAAACCACTTATTTGGAAGTAAGAAAACAGACAAACACAAATCTTCTAACATTATCATATGTTTGGTGTATTGTAGATGTAATAAATGAATATGGAACCCAAAAATAGATAGTTGTTGGGTTGTTTATCTTTTAATTGACTTAATAGACACACAAATTCATTTAATAAGTTATATATTAATTTGTTTTCTGAACGACTTTATAGAAACGGTATAGAATTGAATATTAATGTTCTTCTTGTGCAGGAGGTTCAACCGTTCAACCACTTCCGTGGGATCTACGGCTAAAGATTTTGATTGGAGCGGCTCAAGGGTTGGCGTTTTTGCACACTTCTGAGAAACAAGTTATCTATAGAGATTTCAAGGCGTCAAATATTTTGCTCGATGGGGTAAGTTCAATCACTTGTGTGAAATGTTCTCAATTTATAGTCTCTTTGTTTTTCTTAGTAATGAAACGTTTTCTTTTCCTTCTTGTTTTGGTCAGTCTTATAACGCAAAGATATCGGACTTTGGGCTTGCGAAAATTGGCCCTTCGGCTAGTCAATCACACGTAACAACTCGGGTCATGGGGACTTACGGCTATGCTGCTCCTGAATATGTTTCTACAGGTAATTTGAGTCCTTTAGGCTTATAAACCGCATCAAACAACTACATTTAGACCTGCATTGAACTGGAACTGGAACTAGGATGAATGTCAAGGAGACAAGAATTTTAATTGTTTGTCCCTCCTAAAAAAATGGAACAAAATGCGGTATGGAATTGTTCTCAATCTTTTGTCTAACAAAAGACATACATGCCCTCCTCATTCTCTTTCATTGAAAACGGTTACAATGTGTTTGGCATGCATTAGAACGTCGATGAGACAAAAACTGTAATTTTCATCCCCTACAAAAAGGTGGGATACGGACTTCGGACTCGATGTCTCATTTGAGTGAAAGGTGTAATGCACTCCTCATACTGTGTTTGACTTGCATCTGAGATGGATGTGGACGAGATGACAAATATAGTTTTTTTCACACGCCAAATGTTGAACACGAGAGATAGAGATTTTTTCTTGATCCCTTGTTAGTGAAAAGACATAAATGCCCTCATCATCATCATCATCATAACTAGCATATAAAGCTTGTCCCGTATATAGTACAAACCTATAATGAGCAATCTAAAAAGGTTATCTTTATTATTTTCTTAATAGGGCATTTGTATGTGAAGAGTGACGTCTATGGTTTTGGAATTGTATTGGTTGAAATGTTAACGGGCTTGCGGGCACTTGACAATACCCGACCGGCTGCCCAACAAAATTTGAGCGATTGGGTGAAGCCATATTTAGCTGACCGAAGGAAAATGAAGGACATAATGGACTCGCGGCTCGAAGGAAGATACCCTTCAAGGGCTGCAGGCCAAATTGCCCAATTAGCCCTCAGATGCATGGAAAATGAACCGAAAACCCGCCCCTCAATGAAAGAAGTGGTTGAAAAGCTAGAACAACTCGATGCCATGAACGGAAGGCCAAGGGTACCAAGAGTACACCATTCCTCTCATCATTACTCACAACCTCAACATACCCAACAACGTTCACCTCATCATCGTCGTTCCCCACAACCTCATGCGGTGAAAGAAGGGAGTCGAGGAAGTCGTCGCTCACCGAAAGGGTGGTGAATTTACGGTTTTACCCTTGGGATTATACTGGATATGTCAAGCTCATCCTCATTCAGAAATTTTTTCCAACGAGGGCAAAAAGCTTTTTTTGATGGAACATTGATAGTTGTGGCAATGGGGGAAAATTACAAAACACCCTTAAACTATTTATGTATGTTGTTGTTGTTTGTAGATAATTATGATAGGTATTTATAATTTTATGTATGTTATCATTTTTTTTTTTTTTTTTTTTTTTTAAATTGTTGTGGGGACAAATTATTGAGAAATGTTGAAAGAGCCTCCTAATTAAGTGTCTTAAAATATTTACAATCACAATGTTGAGTTGTTTTTGTTGGTTTGAGTTTCAAGATTGTGTTTTCTGATCATGGTGATTTTGGATCAACTAGAAAAGGCGTTAAAATTCCCAATATAAGAGCTTCCATGCGAATTCATCTAACAAACAAAACAAAACACAGGTGTTAAGTAAGGATCATACTCCCGCCATTTTGAGCAGCATGAGAGAATTAAGTAGGGCTCTCATCAACAACACTAACAATCCTGAATTAGCTTGGCAGATCTTCAAACGCATCGCCTCGAATCCCAACTTTCCATCCGATGCTCTCAAGTTCAACCAATCGCTGTCTGTTCTTACCCGTATTCTTATCGGAGCCAAAATGTTCACCCAAATCAACGCCCTTCAGCAACTCCTCCTTTCCTACCCATCCCAGACTTCGCACGACTCCATGGTCTTGCTTGTTCGCGATCTTGCTAAATCGGGTCATGTAAGTCTCGCTATTTCTCAGTTACAAACACTTCGAGCTCACCACCCCAATCAACCTCTTTCAATTTCCTTGTACAACACACTAATCAGGTCCTCGCTTCAACAAAATCTCCCAAGCTGTGTTCAATTGCTGTATGAAGACATGATTGTTTCTAGGGTTACCCCTGAAACTTACACTTTCAACCTCTTGATTGGAGGGTTATGTGATTCAGGCTATTTAGACGATGCACGGAAGGTGTTTGATAAAATGCGCGAGAGAGGATGCGTACCTAATGAGTTCACCTTCGGCATTTTGGTTCGTGGGTATTGTAGGGCTGGATATACTAACCAAGGTTTGGAGCTTTTGGAGGTAATGAGAAGTATGGAGATTGCTCCAAACATTGTTATTTACAACACATTAGTTTCAACTTTTTGCAAAGAAGGTAAGACTGATGAAGCAGAAAAGTTAGTGGACATGATAAGAGACGATGGTCTTTTTCCAAACGTAGTTACATTCAATTCCAGGATTTCAGCTCTATGTAGTCAAGGAAAAGTCTTGGAAGCTTCAAGAATTTTCAGAGATATGCAAGTAGATAAGGTCTTAGGGTTGCCTCAACCTGATATGATTACTTACAATTTGATGCTTCAAGGGTTTTGCAAGGAAGGAATGATAGCTGAAGCAAAAACCCTAATTGAATCCATGAAAGTAAGTGGTTTCACTTTAGAAGTAGAAAGTTACAATATATTCTTATTTGGCTTAATAAAAAACCAAAAGCTTCTAGATGCACAAGTAGTTCTCAATGAGATGCAAGAAAATGGCATATCACCAACTGTTGTTTCATACAATACAATTATAAATGGTCTATGCAAGAATGGTATCCTTCATGATGCAAAAATGGTCATGAGTTTAATGAAAAAACATGGAGTATCTCCTGATGTAATCTCTTATAGTATCCTACTTCATGGATATTGCAAAAAAGGGAAGATCAATGAAGCCAATAAACTCCTACGTAACATGATAGAAAACGGTTGTTTTCCAAATAACTACACTTGCAATAGTTTGCTAGAAAGTTTGTGGAAAGAAGGGAAAGTATTAGAAGCCGATGAGTTATTAAAAAAGATGAAAGAAAAAGGCTATGATTTGGATTCAGTGACCTATAACATTGTTCTTGATGGACTATGTAAAATCGGGAAAGTAGAAAAAGCAATTGAAATCATTCATGAAATGTGGAATCAAGATTCTAAGCCTGACTTAATCACTTATTCCATTATAATTAACGCATTATGCAAAAATGGGAATCTTGATGAAGCTAAAAAGAAATACATTGAAATGATAGGGAAAAACATATACCCAGATTCAATTATATTCGATATATTTGTGTATAGTTTATGTAAAAGGGGAAGGGTATCTTCGGCATTTCGGGTGCTTAAAGACATGGAGAAAAAAGGGTACAACAAAACCTTGCAAACTTACAACTCTTTGATACTCGGGTTAGGAATGAAAAGTCAATTCTTTGAAATGTATGGATTAATGAATGAGATGAAAGAAAGAGGCATTTCTCCTAATGTTTTTACTTACAATAACATGATAAGATGTTTATGTGAATCAAATCAAATCGATAATGCCATGAAACTATTAGATGAAATGTTGAGTAAAGAAAGAGGCATCTCTCCAAATATTTCCACTTTCAAGTTATTAATCAAACCCTTATGTCAAATAGGCGAGTTTACACCAGCACTTGAAGTGTTTGACACCTCATTAAGAATCTATGGTCATAAAGAAGTGTTGTATAGCTTCATGTTTAATGAGTTAGTTTGTGGAGATGAACTCATGGAAGCTAATAACATTTTCATGTCGAGTTTGGATAGATGTTTTGATATAGGGAGTTTTTTATATCAAGATTTTATTCAGAGACTTTGTAAGGTTGAAATGTTGGAATGTGCAAGTGATGTGTTAAAGAAAATGGTTCAAAAAAAGTATTCTTTTGATTCTGCGTGTTTTATGCCTGTCATTGATGGTTTGAAAGTGAATGGGAATACGCGTGAGGCTGATGAATTTGCTGAGTGGATGTTGGAGATGAATTCGGAGGTTGAGGTTTCTAATAGAGTTGACCGAAATTTTAGAGTGTTTGACCATAAAAAAGTTGGAAAAAGTGAAAAGAATTGGCAGAGTGTGCTCCATAGGTATGAAATTTCAGACTGTTTGATTCCACAATTTGATCTGACTTATTATATTTTGAATATAAATTATGACACATTCGTTGTGTTTGTTTGATTGTTGCAGAGATGATGGGAGTAGTGTGACACTGAAAATTTTGAGTAAGGTAAAGAAAGGATGGGGTCATGCGAATATATCAAATCAGAATTCTCAAAAGTATGACTTCATTGATAATAATGATTGAAAGTTATTATTTGGAGATATGTTGCCTATCTTTTGTGAAGCTTGTTGAATTAGTTTTTGTAATTTGTATCTCTATGATGTAGTGTACGTTTTTTTTTTGTTATTGTAATTATAGGGATCCTGATTTATATACATAATACATGGATAAATATGGAAGATATGTTAATGCATAAAAGAAATCAACAATATATAACCGTTGTACAATCATATAGAATTGTTAAAACTGGAAACTTAACGATTGCACTCAACTCTCAGTGCAATCCATTTGAATAAAGTTACTCGATTAATTCAATTGATATGTTCTTAAATTAAATAGTTTTTTCTTTGATTTTGTTGTGGTAATTACAAAATGAGTTGAAGCAGAAAAAAAACAAATTAGTTCAAAATTTTATAATTAGTGAGCTAAGTCTTGGTTTTTAGGCTTGTTTTACAAAAAGTCGAGTTCGAGCCTTGAGTCGAGCTTTGGTTTGTTTATGTTTGCTTCATAAAATGAGTCAACCCGAACCGAGTTTGAGCTCATTGGATCATTCACAAGTCGAGCTCGAGTTTTTTTTTTTTTTTTTTTTTTTTTTTTTTAATTTTTTTATTTTATTTTATTATTATTTTTTTATAAGGCTTCAAACAAGTCGAACTCGAGCTTGAGCTTTTATAACTTTAAATGAGCCGATACCAATTAAGGTTAGGCTCGGGATCAACATGGCTCGTTTCATCCCTAGTGGGAGTCCCATCCTTTATCAGAACAAATTTTTAGCGTTAAGGGCCGATACCAGAGGTGGCATCTCCTTTACTAGACTAAATTTTTAGTGTTAAAGGCCTCACTTTTTTATTTTCGCTGGAACTTCAATTGCATCAAGCATAGTCATTTGAAGCAACATTGTATTATATATTATACCTAAAATGCAATTGTTCCCAGTGTTTAATGGGTTTGACTAACCCACCATTTGTTTTGTTGAAGAATAAATGAATCAAAAGTACCAGATTTAGTTTTTCATTCCTATATTATCAAATATTTGTATAAATGGTCTCTATATAACTAAAAATTTATAAAAATAATCCTTATATATCATAAAATTAGAGAAATGGTCTTTGCCTAATAGCGTATTTAAATAAATGGTCCCTCTATTTCACAAAATTACAAAAATGGTCCTTGTATTTCAAAAACTACGGAAGCGGTCCCTGCTTAACCGAAACTTTATAGAAAATGGTCATTGTGTTTCATAAAATTACAAAACAATTTGTTGTCTATTAGCGAATTTACCTACATGGAGATGACCTTATGCTTATATTATAAGTATCATATGTTGTTCTTAAGCTAAAACATTCCTTAGGTTTTTCTTTTTACTAACTATGAAAGCAAGGTTTGTTTAATGAGAATCGTGCTCCATAATACTATCTCCAACCCTCTCTTTCTAATATGAAAAGCTTTAGCTGGAGGGACAGATAGATATGATGGCTTTCTCTTGAAAAATTTCAAGATTTTTATTACCTAATTAGGGTTAGATGGATACTTTTAGATTTATAAACTGAATTAGTTGAGTAAAATATGATTTACAGTGTTCACTGTTGATAGCTATTAATTAATATACAAGAAGATATCGAATATAAATAAAAAATGATAATACAACTTAGACAATCTATAATGACACATAATTGATAGTTTGGATATTACTAAGACATTATGCCAAAATAGTGGTGTATTGGAGATTTGGAGTCATTTCCTCACTTCCACACAAGAGATGGCCATGCAAGAAACTCTATCATGAACATGGAGACTGTATCAAATATACAAGAAGCTTATGATTAGAACACGAAAGGCACGTTGCATAGCATGATCACAAACACACATACAACCAAAAGAAAGTACAAAAATTCAAATTAAAACGTGTAGACAATGCTTTTATGCATCAAGATGTCATGTGTATTGATGCAACAATAACATAACCAAATTACAACACTAAAGCACAAGTAGGAATGAAGACACCACAAGTATTGGCGGTATTGTGAAGATATTGGTATTTTGGTGACAATATAAACTTATTAATGTCTATGTATTTGCATAGGCAATTTATGTGGTGATCTCATTATCCACAGTAATTAGAAATGGTGAACCTTTTGAAATAAGAGATGGATAACAATCCTTTATATCTTTAATAAGATTACACTCTTGACTATGAACATCACCCAAAAGCATCATCATTGCAGCAACACTAACAAGAATAAAAGTCGTGTTCTTCATTTTCCTAATCTTGTGATTATAACTTGAAAGATATTAATATAAACAATGGAAAATTTTGGTTTCGTATTACATTCATTATGGTATATATACAATTAGAAATCGAGAATCAAAGCTACAAACAAGCTTTTAAACTAGGGAAGGGTCAATACTATGGAACTCATATTAACAATAGAGACCTAAGTATAGAAGGAAAATAAAGATTATATAAAATTAATATGGAATGTTGAATAAATATACCTATATATGATATTTTGTAAAATTAAGGAATGACTGATCGTAGTCATACATGCAAAAGAAATTTAATGAGGTAATTAAGAATTTTGATAATGTAACACAAGATTTAAGTTAATTGTTTTTGGTCAAACCTTTAGATTAAATGGAAGAGTTTAGTTTAGTTATGTGAATAAACAAGTTTGGTTTTCCTTTTAAAAAATTCAAATGGATTCTTGCTAGAAAAATTGCAAGGGAATTTACTTTATCCTTTAATGTTTACTTAAAGTGTATAAAGCTTTGTGACTTTGTTGAATCCCATAAGGGGGGCATGATTAAGTTACATAGTTGGGTTTGGTTATGGATTTCAAAGTAATTTGGAGTATTTAGAATTTAAACTTTTTTTAAAAATTGTGTTTTGTTGAAAAAATTAAAGGAATTAGAATTCTTATGTGGCACAACAAGGCTCGTGCCAGTGGCACAACAATCAAAGGAACAACATACATGATGGAGCACCTTGTGCCATAGTGGAGCATCATGATGTACAAGTGGCACATCATGAACACTAATGGCCCAACATCCATCACTATGGCATAACATGGCGTATATCTTGAGCAATACCTGATGGGTTTTGTACATAAGAACATTCCTATGTGCGCATACAAACCCTAATGCTTGGATCTAGGTTTGTCTAATTAAACATGCATTGAATCCAAGACTCCTAATGGCTAATTAGGTATAAGAACAATACAAAACCAGAGTTAGAAGCATACCTCGAAACACTTGTTTGATCTTCTTGTTCTTGGAGCTTTAGAGTCACAATTATCACTCCTCTAATGGTTTACAAACACCAACTAGCAAAGAGAATGATTTGAGAGAGAGGAGAGAGGAGGAAATCGGCCAGGGTATCCTTGCTGTAGAGGAAGTGCCGATTTCCCTATCCCAAGGGGTCTATTTATACTTGTAAGGCTCCTAGGGTTTTACCTTTAAACCCTAATTGGAAAACTTAGACTCTAAGTAATCCTAATTCTTTCCATAGATAAGCCATGGATGAATTTGAGGCTATCCCAAGCCCTAGAATTCGTCCAACCCATATCCTTAAAGGATTTACAGCCTAAAGTGTAACTACCAAACAATTGACAGTTTATACCCTCTTATTTAATTAATCTCTTTAAGTCATCAAATTAATACTAATTAATCTATGACTTATATTAATCAAATAACAATATTATTATTCATTATATTATTCTCATAATATATTAATAATATCTATTCTCTCATAATAAATCATCCTACCAAGTTGCTATGGTCATGGCAACCCAAAAGGACCATGCACAATCGGGTCAAATACTTGCCTAATATAGTTGTAGCCTTAGACACTATTCCAACAGTCTCTCACTTGGATAAGTCTAGTAACTATATGCACAAGTACAATCCGATTTGCAATCGTAGCTCTCAAAGACGTTGTCAAACACTGATCAATCTTGTCCTTCAGATAAGGGATCATACAGTCCTCTGTTAGATATCATGCTGACAATTCAATGGAATGATTAGTCTAGTATTTGGTTTCTCGATCTCCGATTTATCCGACATAGAACTTAATCGAACACATCAATTCAGTTCTGACCGGGCCCGACACATAAGTCAAATCAAATCATCGAGCGGCCAAGATATCACTTTTCCCTTCTTAGGATAAAAGTTACAGATAAACTTCGACTTATATGCATTTACTTATTCATTAACCAACTATACACAATAATGCGTTTTATAACATTGAGTTACCAATGCGTTTTCGCATTATCAATGTACAATCAATTAGCAAATAACAAACCATATATCTAGGTTTTAAGACTATATGATATTATCGTCTTGCGATCACCCTTTTATCACATTCCATAAGGTGATTCCAGCAAGCGCGGGTTTGTTCCAATGCTCAAAACCAGTTCATAAGCATTCATGAACGTTGCAACAATCTTTTGCTATGTCTAAAACCATTTAGACACTCTACACACCTATTCATGACAACCTTCATTCATATCTACTTCCGACATATGAACGATTGTGGACAATTTGAACAATTCGATTATTCTTAATAAACTCAATTATTCTGGAAGTCAAAACATGAAAAGTGAAACAATAGTTAAACAATTAACATAAGACAGTAACATTACTTATAAATAAAACTCCTTTATTTAATCATCAAATGTTAATTACATTTATCTATTATACGTTTCTAATACTATCTAATCTATACTAATATCATCCTTCAGCCCAATACTCCTAGCATGCTGCAAATGCTTAACCCTGCTCAGTCCCTTCGCAAGCGGATATGCTGGGTTATCTTCCGATGATATCCTCTTTACTACGAGTTGTCCTTCTTCTACACGATGTCTAATAAAGTGATATTTCCCTGTCGATATGTCGTGATCTACCATGATCTCTTGGTTCCTTGGTCAAGGCAACCGCTCCTTCATTATCACAGAAAATCTCCATGGGCTCCTTTATGGCAGGTACAACTCCAAGATCACCAATGAAGTTCTTTAGCCATATTGCCTCCTTCGACGCTTCGCTTGCTGCAATGTACTTTGATTCGCACGTTGAATTAACTACGGTTTCCTGCTTAGAACCCTTTCCAAGTTACTACTCCTCCATTCAGGGTAAAGACCCAGCCCGACTGCGAACGGTAGTTGTGCCTGTCGGTCTGAAAGCT